AGGCCCCAGCTCTGCTAGTCCCCAAAGAGAAAGGGTTTGGGGTGGGGGGAGTTAATTGGACTCCCTATAACGCGCTTGGCCCCAGCATGGTTTGGAAAACCTGGAAATCTCCAGGTTTCTCCAGTGCAAGGGTCCCCCTCCTTGCAGCCCGAGCATCCTCATCCTATCGATGGGACAGGAGGAAAGGGCCTCAAGTTGCACCAGGGGAGGTTCAGGTTAGATATTAGGAAGAATTTCTACAAGAGTAGTCAAGCGTTGGAACAGGCTGCCCAGGAAAGTGGTGGAGTCCCTGGCAGCATTCAAGAAATGCGTAGATGAAGAACTTAGGGACACGGTTTAGTGGGATGATGTTGAGGGACTCGCGGTCGGACTCGATGATCTCGAAGGTCTTTTGCAACCATAATGAGTCTGTGATCCTTGCTCTGCTCCTCCTCGCTCCGCAGGTAAAACGTGCCAGCAGGCCGACCCGTGCGCCTCCAACCCCTGCGCCAACGGCGGGCAGTGCGTGCCCTTCGAGGCCCACTACGTGTGCCGCTGCACGGCCGGCTTCCACGGCGCCAACTGCAAGCAGGACGTCAACGAGTGCAACCTCTCGCCCGCCGTGTGCAAGAACGGCGGCAGGTTTTTTTTTTCTACCAGTGCTCCTGCAAGCCGGCCTACACCGGGCAGAACTGCGAGCACCTCTACGTGCCCTGCAACCCGTCGCCCTGCCAGAACGGGGGCACCTGCCGCCAGACCGGTGACACCACCTACGACTGCACGTGTCTGCCAGGTAGGGGCTGCCTTGCAGCCGCGAGCTGTGCGGTTGCAACCCCAAGGAACCGGGCAGAGCCCGGGGTCCCTTTTGCAGCAACTTGGACCTGCATGGTGTTTGGCGAGTTGCGGTGGCCTGGGCTTTTTATAATATGCAGGGACCAAAGAGCATTTCAAGAAGGTTAAATGCCCGCTCCAAACCTGCTCCCTCTGCATGCTCCAGGGTGAAATGCTGCCCGCTCGGCCGCAGCGGCGCCGAGCAGAGCGCTCGGGCACCGGCACGGCACAAAGCACAGAAGGGCTTTGGGCCAGCTGTTTTGTTTGAGCTGACATTTGTCTTAGGAAGTGGGTTTTCCTCCCGCTCTCCGCGGACCGTCACGGTGCGGAAAGTTCAGCAAATCGGTAGAACTTTCCCTCGACGAGCGGTGCCAAATCCTGCTGCTCTGGGGAAGGGCAGAAACGCGGAGCGGCTGGAGCACGGCTGCAGCCGGAGCGCTCGGGAAGACGCTGGGCAGCTGTCCCTTAAGAAGAGAGGTCATCTGGGGGCTCTCTGAACACGGTGATTCACCAAAATAGCTCGTCCAAAACAACCGTTTCAGCAGAGGCCCCTGTGCGGATGCTCATATTCCAGAATAAGAGTGCCTTTTTCCGCTTTAGCTTAATCCGCTTCCAGAGTGGAATAATTATCCAGGAATGGCTATTTTGGTGTTGGCTTCCGAGTGCGAGCGGAGTTGGGAGAGACCCTCGCCGCGCTCGCTGGGGCAGCGCAGGAAGGCGCCCGGCGGCTGGAAGCGCACGCGGGGAACGCACGGAATATCCCCGGGATATCCCTGCGAGCCGGCCGGGAGAAAAGAGCCTGTGAAAACATCCCCTTCTGCCGCGGGGCTGGGGTTTGCAGTGCGGTTGGGGCAGGGGGATGACCTGGCCGGGTGAGGGACGAAGCCGTCGAGCTGCTGGCGGGGACGCTGCTCGGGGCGCCCGGGCTTTGTTTGCAGCGGGATTAATCTCGCCGGCCTCCTCCACCTGCCCGCGGCAGACGCCGAGAGGAAGCATCTGGCCTCCCCCTCGGGAAGACGCTATCGGCAGCGTGAAGCTGCCTGAGAAACCCTCACAACAGCTCGAGCGTCGCTTTGATCGCCTGTTGTCACCCGCAGCCCCTCCGCGGCGGGTCCCTGTGTCCCTGCGGTTGAAGGTTGACCTGGGAGCTGCCTGTGGCCCTGAGCAGGGCCAGGGCAGCGGGCACAAGGCAGCGGGCAGGCTTGCCCCATAGGAGAGTCGTTGAGCTCTGCAATGAGGCTCAGGAGTCAGGGGGTTCATCCCCCTCACCAAGTTTGGGCTATAATTCAGGAAACTCTCTATATCCGCCCTTTGCAGGTGCCTCACTGACAAGGTGCTTTTCCCAGAGCAACCAAAGCGTTTGGGGGAATGCTCTGGGGAAGCGGGACTGCTTGGG